TGGAATAGGCAGCGGTGTGATCACGGAGCTGTGTGAGCCAGAGAAGCGAGCCCAGAAACTTGGATGGTGGACACTTATGTTGACCCTTGGAACTCCAGGTGGGCCATTCATCATGGGATTTGTCACAAAGCGCATTGGGTTTGGGTGGATCTACTGGATATTCGCCATTATGAACTTCGGGCAGTTCATCGCTTACCTGCTCTTGGGTGAAGAAACGCTATACATTCCGGCCGAAGGTGGTCCTTCTGATGCAGCGGTGGCGAGATCTCGCTTCGTACAGAAGTTTATCCCTCGCCGGATCAACCCTCGTCCCCTTAAGATTCGCGAATTCATCGAGCCACTTCTTTTTACGAGGCTGCCTAGGGTGCTGATTCCTGCATGCGCTCATTCTATAGTGTTTTGCTATGGAAACATTGCTCTGGTTGTTGAAATGCCAATCGCTTTTGGTGAGAAGTTTGACTTCGATTCGCAGCAAATTGGTCTGCAGTTCATTGCTATCATTATCGGGTGTGTCCTCGGCGAGCAGTTGAGTGGCCCCATGTCAGACCGGTTTCTGCAAGTCATGCATAAAAGAAGAGGATATCACCGCCCTGCAGACCGGCTATGGCTCTCATACATTGGAATTGCCACTGTCATTGCCGGCCTTCTCGTATGGGGCTTCCAGCTACAGAAGGCTACCAGCTGGAACGTGACCCCATGTGTCGGTGCAGCAATCGCCAGTTTTGGAAACCAAATCATAACGACAATCCTGATTTCGTTCGCCATCGACAGCTATAAGGAAGCATCGACCAGTATCGGCGTCTGCATCAATGTCTTTCGACATGTTTATGGTTTTGTAAGTCAAAGAGCACCAAGCGTTAGTGGTTCTTCGCTAATGGTTTCAGATCGGTCCTTTCTATTTCCCTGACATGTTCGAGGCTTTGGGCTTGGGTGGTGCAGCTGGTGTCATGTGTGCTATCATCGGAGTCTGCGCACTTCTCCCAATCATCGCCATACATTTCGTTGCTACGCGCGCAGACCAGAAGATGCAGGATGATGTTACGGACTGATGTGATCATGGCATGGAAGAACCTATACTATAGAATTAGTGATGTACAAAATGAAGTAGCAATATTTGTCAGCTCTGTCTTGAATGACTTACAGCCCTGAATACGTCGTGAATTTATTGAAGAAAGGACATTACGTTCTCCCACAGCTGCCTTGCTTAGACCGACGCCATGCTGTAATTACCTGGTTTGCTCGAAACAAGTTTCAAATTCACACTCGTGTAGCAGACCGAGAAACAAAGTTGGTTCTGCAAAGTGCGTATGTAGAAAGGAATTCACCATCAGGAAGCTTGCTCAGAAGAGGTTGCTGGGAACACTGTTCAACCATGACATATCTTGAAAGTCTGGGAAGTCAAGGCTATCCAACAGTATTGAATTGATACCCTCCCCTAAAGAAAGATCGCCGAGACCATTAGACGCAGGGTTCGTGGGGAAAGCGCTCGTTTGGTGGTCATGGAGTGGAGGCCCTTCGGATACTACCCGTTCGTAGAGAATTTCGAGAGCTGCAACACATCGCCGGGCGGACGTGCTGTGGCTATGATATCTTTGCAATACCTCCAAAGCGTTTTCCCACGACTGCGTGATTGCAGCTTCAGTCACCTCTTCTAATAAAGTAGGACAGAGACGACCGGCTATGAGGACGGTGGCAGCGGTATAAACGTCTGTACATCATGAGATTCGCTGACAGTTATTCACCAGGGCTAGACTACTCACACAGGATGTTGTACCACCAAGCAGGAAGAGGGCCTGAACTTCCATCGGCGGGCATATTACTGTGTATTAGCCCGATAACCTCTTGCGCGACCTTGACGCAAATGGTCGAGCATTGCAGTGCAACTCGCTGAGGAAAAGAGTCTTGCAGGGAAATCATCGGATCCGCAATCCCGATCTCACGTGAAGTACAGTATCTGGACAGGATGGGTCTGAAGAGAAGCATCCTTACGTGAAGGAATCTTGTAAGAGGGTTAGTTTGGCAATTGACCAATTAACACATACTAGGCAACATACCTTGCACGCAATACAACACTTTGGTGGTAGAAAACTGTATATCCGCCCCCCAGATGAGATTCACCTCGCAAGTGTGATGGTAGGCTTCGGGACCACTTCGTAAGTGCCCGGTCGAGTTCGAATATCGTCCGCTCTCCCTGATTTGCTTCTTTATTGAAGTAATAGTCATAGATGTTTTCTGGGCTTTCATCGGTTGTCGGACTGTACAGACTCAACAGGATATCGTTCAGGATTTCATAAAGCTCAAGAGACTTTGCATAGAATGCCATGACTGACGGTCGGTCTGCTGGCTGAGTCACCTCGGACCCAGAGACTGCAGGGATATACTCCTCATCCACCGTAGCCGGGAGAGGGACCGATCCGCATGACGCCTTGGAGATCATGGCAGGGCGCCCAAATGTCATGGATATAACTCTACACGATGTCAATATTTGAACAGAACGACTGATTGGATTGAAGTCACGTACCGATCCATCAGGACACATCCGTGCCATATTTTGCGAGCCAGCTGTTGCTCCTGGGGATTATGTAGACGAGCGATCGTCTGGGGAAGGTGCAAGCCAAGGCCTTGGGCATTGCGGATAGCCAGCCCGGTGACAATCCAGCACTGATGGGCGGAGTCGGTGCTTTGCAAATACTGAGCCATTAGAAGCAGACATTGAATCAGAGCAGCGGAGCCTGTGTTCCAGAGGTTGAATTGAAGAAGATCTTTTGCACGAGTAAAGAATGCATCTGCAGAAGCCTCTCGCTCCTCTGGTGGGATAAAGTCAGCCAGTTGACAGGCCAGTGCAAAAATGACATTGACGGTACACATAAGCATGTTTTCATCAGATTGAAGAGCCTCCCCAGTCCAAATCATCTCATACTCTCTTCTCAACTGAAGGCTGTCAACGAGTGGATATAGTGGGAAAACAAACTCCCAGTAAACCCCCATGAGGCTATCTGCCGTCTTTCGTGGAGGGAGGACATAGTTGGGGACTGTGGATAACCGTGGCTTCTTCGTGGCCATCAAACTGGGAGGCGGACCGACCCCAAGAATCGAATCCGAAGTGTGGCGGTTCGGCGAGGATACCTTCTTATCTATGGCAGTTTTGATTTGACGGATAAAGCTGGCAGCACTGGAGCTGCCAAAAAAGCCCTGTGTGGGACGTTCATCCTCCACGGCACCCATCATGGCATTGACACTGTCCGTTGGGTCTTTCAGTCGAAGCGACTGATCCAGCGAGGCTGGTGATTGATAGGTAGTGTGCCTGGTGACAAGATGGGGATTCCCTTTGGGTGTACATTGTGAGGTGCTTCGCGCCGGAGAAAGATGGTCCGCATTCGTCGTAGTTGTAGAAATAATGCTCCTAGGTCGGTTTTGGCAAACGGGCACCTCCAAAGAGGGCGAGGTATGATGCTGCAAAGTGTGAGTGTGACCTGAACATACTACTACTCTCACAGGCGGTAGGTGGTATATTCTGGGATGCTGGAAGGCAACGGAGCAAAGAGTAGCTTACCTGCAACTGGTCCGAGCCATCATAAGATTGCGCAGGCCCTCCTTCTCCACTGTCATAAAAGGAACGAGGACTCTCTAGATGCTTGATCCGGCTTTCCAGACTTTCGATGTAACTGCCATGATGAATAGAGTGTTAGTTCGGGTGGACAAATCGGGAAGGAGCCCGTTAGTGCCTGAGGCAGCCAGAAGGGCACTCACTTGCGAACTGCTCGCTTTTTCTCCAATTCCCCAGTGTAAACACATTGGCTTCCCTGGTCCACTCGTTTTGCGCACGGCCCACAGACTTGGCACTCAGAGATTAGCGACGTAACTTGGGTCTCTCGGAAGAGTCACACAAGTGAGGCAATACGCACCGGGTTGTCTCCCGTCACAACGGACCTTCCGAGCACGGCATTCGTCGCAAGCAATTGCGACTTTGCGACGTTTATTGGGGCGACCAGAGCTGTCGGAATGACGAACATGAGAGTCTTGCACGCTAGACATGGTGGGGAGGTATCTGGGGTGTCATGCGATCCTGGACAAAAGACCCCGGAGATACAGCAAGTAGTTGGGGCGATGCAGAAGGAAGAAAATCCGGGGTCGCGGGGAACGGGATCTCTTCCGGTGGAGGCCGGATGACTAAATTGACATGAGCCAGCCACGGATTACTGAACTCGTATTGAGGGAGGAAAATTTAATTCCTGCTGTACTGGATTTCAACATGTCGAGGTTCACGCAATGTGCACATCATGTTCGTCGTACTTGCGTAAGTTGATTGCAGTGGACTGACTGACTATAGGCGGGCTTTGTTGGCCCGGAATGGCTCCCGAAGTGTCCCAGCAAGTATATTGCACAGAGTGATGAAGGAAAACTTGAAACATTGACTGAAGAGCTCCATAATGCCAGCCTGACTAGCAAAAGAAAGACCTATCAATATAAAAGTCTATTAAAAAAGCATGAGAGCAAAAAGTTATGTGAGTAAAAAACAAAACAAATGACCGATCCCGGGATCGAACCGGGGACCTTCTGTGAGCTTCAATTATGTAAGACAGACGCCCTAAAACCACTAGGCCAATCGGTCTGATGATAAAGATTCTATACTCTCCAAGGGCATCTCCTGCTCAAGCTCTGCGCAACTCGAGCCTTGCTTCCTACCAGCCTAGTAATTCAACACGGACGCTTAAAACTATGTCAACAAACCAAGGTATATTGAGTCCTGAGCTTCGATCAACTCAAGGTTATATAGAATAAACGGACTCCCAAGTGACCGAGGAAGATTCTGTACTTAGACAACAACTAACGAAGAAAGGGCCAATAAAGAAGAGTAACGAACTCCAAAACATTCAAATACTATGACGCGCAAACATCAACAAATCATCTTCTGACCCCATTGATACCACCCAACTGTACATTATCCAGCATTAGCTGAGAGAGTCGCCCCGGGATGTTCGCCCAGCGAAGAGTGACATTTACATCAGGCGCCCAATGGCAATGCATGGGAGGCTGATGAGGTTATTGCTCTGTGTCAAGGTGATTGTCAGTATCTTTCATCTGACCTGGTAAGGAATCCAGGTCACTCACGCCTTCAGAGCAGCAGGCAACGCTCCGAGATCCTTCTTCATTGCCGCCTGTTATTGGATAAATTGATCAGCTTCTATACCTAGCAAACACTTTAAGGAGACCAACTTACAAGGGCCACAGTTGTTTCCACCTTGCAATTCGCCGGGTACACCCTCGCCCAATCCGGCCCGGAAGCGACTCTCATCTTGGCGGGACAGGCCATGCTCTGGACTGAAACCCTGGCAGCACTTTACATTGTTCGTTCCGCAGCTATTCTGAGCAAGAGAGCTGCCGAGTCCTGATTCTGAGCGGTCGTTGTGGCTGATCCACTGGTAGCTTCGAGGGACAGCACCGGCCATGGCGGTGGCCGCGATGAGGGTAGCAACTGCGAAGAACTTCATGATGATTGATGGTTGGATAGAGGTAAAGACGAGTAGTAGATTGTTTGCGTGATGTGTGAGATAGACAAGAGAAAATCTTGGATTGTGCTGTTGATGGGTTGGAAGGATGGCTGCGAGATGCCTTCTTATAGTTGTTGAGCTGCACCTGGATGCCCTTTAGTATGGAATATTAAGGCCCTCTGAAAACCTCTGCGATGATGAAGCTTTCAACCGCCGATTAGGATTCAACACACTCTTGTCTAGAAATCAGACTAACTCCTTGCATGAGGATAGTCTTGGTGGTGGCAGTGCGCATTCTACAGCGCTGAAGTTCTCTCGGAAGAAAGATCGTCAAGGACTATTCAATTGACATCGAGGATATGTGTAGCGAAGTCCTCGCCAACGTAGTTACTCCTGCATGAATCGCTTATGCAACCTCTGCATACATTCCGGGATTAGTGAGCTGTGTTCGGGGCAAATCCCCACAGAGATGCATGATATTCAGGGGATATATATGACATATCACTTGCAGCAGATGTCGTTCCGAACCTCATGCGATTTGTGGACGGATCTAGCATAGGTACGGAGTGGTATCCGGAAGACACATGAGTTCGTGACATCTCATGTGTGACCCACCGGATGAGTCTGATATCACAGAAAATCGCCCAAAAAGATTGTCTGGAAGGCAAAATGTGTCAGTTGTTCAGAAATGAGCCCTCGGATGAATAACAAATTATCCTAGCTATTTTCCGGTATATCTGCGATCAAAGAATGCTTGTCGGGTTAATACATCAGTGTTTATGATAGTTCATTGAGTCGAATATACTATCTCTAACACCTGCACGCTAGCTCCACGAAGCCAGAGGAGAACAACACAAAGTTTCCTTGATATGGTGGATACAACCATCTCCCAATTGAAAGAAGCAAGTTATAGCTCGCTTTAGAACAGGGGATTTAGCCAAGAATAGTGCTCATTTGTGGGTCCACAAGTCAGTCCCAAGATAGTCCGCAACATGGAGAATAATGTTTGTCTCAACAGCAAGCACTGACCACCTGGTGACTATCATTTCCTCAACAATGCAGATAGATCTTTGAGATCGACTGACTAGCACTTTGGGTGCATGAACAAAAGTCAGCAGACTGCAAACATCATCTCCACTTTGCCGACTAGGGACACTATACGGAGTACACAATTAGCAGTGTAAAGGAGCTATACGCAACTGACAGTCACTGGTTATGGCTGCACCCTATACTATCTTAGCAGGAATCCATGTATTCAGTTGCCTGGGCTACTGGATGTAATGATAGCCGTGCCTATTGTCACGCTATCTAGGGTTGCGTAGTACTCTGGGGAGATGGACACTCACATCTCACGGACCAGTTCGAGTCGCACTACGACGGTGGTGTCTGTCGGCTGCCGTCGGAGACTGTAACATCAGGTATGTTATTTGTAATATATCGTTGCATAACCAATGGAAACATGCAAGTACGACATGTAATATAATAAGCAACCACACTTCGACATTCTACCTCCGAATCATAACCAAGCATGACCTCAAAACAAAAGTATTCGCAGAAATCACGGCCATGCGGGCATACATTGACACACATTGAATTTTTCAAATACATTGTTCACCAGTCGTATAGTTACAAGTTAACGAGCACAATAGAAATATTTTAAGTATGCTATACACACGTTTGACACCTATGTTGGTGGACCGAGAAGGCTTCACATGCACCGCCGAACCCTATCTAAATATCATAGAACGCAGAACACACAACACACAAGTAGCAGAAGCGTTGTATCGGTCCATCACAGCAAATACACTACCTCTCAAAAACAAACGTGCCCCGTTCTAAGTAGATAATCCAGCCACGGTCATCGATCCCTCTGCGGGAGGATAATGATCCCAGCACATCTTCCTTCAGTTCCGTCCGGCGACGGAGACTTTCTGATCCTTTGCCGCAGATATAAACCCACCACCTCGACCGACCTTGACAAGATCTAACCACCCTGTCACCTGTCCACGACTAATTTGCCTCGCTATCTTTTCCCCATTAAGCTTAACCTTGATTCCTCAGGTGTACATCATGTCAAAACCAACCATCGCCTTCCTCGGCGCCACAGGCGGCTGTATCAACGCCTGCCTCGCCCACACCCTACAGAATGGCTACCACGCTGTCGCACTAGCCCGCACTCCATCCAAGCTTATAGCCCTCCTCCGCACTCAAAATATAAACCAAGAGACCCTGGACTCCCGGCTCCGTATAGTCACCGGCGATGCGACCGACCCAGAAGCCGTGAAGAACACACTTCTCCTACATCCATCCTCTTCTACTCCAACCCTAGTCTCCCAAATTATCTCCGGCATCGGCGCCACAGGACAACTTCGTGGCTGGGCATTCGAATTTGACCAGCCGCATATTTGCGAGGAAGCGACGCGGGTACTCCTCACAGCGCTGCGGGATATCTACAACACATATCCGGAGATCCTACTCCCTGCGAACCTTATAGCTCGGCCGCTCCTAACCGTTCTCTCTGGTATGGGCGTCGATCCGAGCCAGAGGCAGTTGGATGTGCCGTTCTTGTTCCGGCGGGTGTATCATGGGCTGCTGCATGTGCCGCATGCGGATAAGTGGGTGATGGAGGAGATGTTGGCGGAGAGGGAGGCGAGGGAGTTGTTTCGGGGAGTGGTGATCGTCAGGCCAGGGAGCTTGTTGACTGGGGATCATATGCTGGGGTCGGGGTATGGGCTTGAAAAAGTTCGTGTGGGCACGGAGAGGGAGAAACCTGCCGTGGGATGGACGATTCCGAGGGCGAATGTCGGCGAGTGGGTTTTTCGGGAGGTGGTGGTTGGGGGTGGGGAGAGGTGGGTGGATGAGAAGGTGACGTTGACTTGTTGGTAAGGATGCTGTCTGTTTGTTTGCGAGTTGGATGTGTTGTTGGTGCTTATTGAATGAGGGTTTGGGTTATTGTTCAGTTATGGGTTAAAGCAAGTAGTATGAGATTGATGTGAAATGACAATGTAATTATTTCATGGTGATTCGGCTGTCGCATACCGTCGGACATGTATCAATAGCCCTAATGAAATTATAGCATGTACTTGGCTAGAGAGTCAGAGATACATGTCGTAGATGGACAGTTGAGTCATCAGTTGAAATTCAGTCTATGAACGCCATGTTGTAGATATACGAGCCCATAACTATGTACATTTCCACTCCATTGCAATGAAAATATCAACAATACTCATAACCTCGTAATTTCATCCTGAACAGTAACCTACCAACTAAATGACTCCTCCACATAGCGTATACGCCTATACCCCCGTCTCATCGCCAAATGCACCGCCGCACGCGCTTCATCCGCCAACGCGGAAGGCCCACATACCAGTACCACAGCAGATGATTCACTGAGTTGGGCTTCGTGCGCGTGATCGAGGACGAGCGATTCCAGATTCGGCCGACCGGGAAGAAAATTTATGTTCCCAGTGTCTCCCTTCCAAAGATGGTCGCGGCTACTTCGCCGGTCTGTATCTGTATCACTTCCGTCGTCGTCGTCATCGCCGGACCTGGCGGGAGCGGGATTTGAGGACGAAGTGCAATAAAACTCCGCCCGGAAATCATCCCTCGCTAACGCAGGCGCTAATTCTTTCACTGCCACCTGCTGCGCGAATGCTTCTTGGCGGGTTACCCAGATTAGACGCATATCCTTCGTCTGTGTCGTGTTGCCGTCCTTTCTACTCGAAGAAAGGATCTGCTCTGACTCGGTAGATGACCGTACAATATGATCCTGGATATACGGTACCGCGGCTGCTATGCCCGTTCCTCCCGCTATTAGTAGGACAGATTCGTAGCTCCACAGTGGAAAGTGGTTGCCGTACGGCCCTTCGAGGAGGATGGTTGTGGTGGTGGTTAGATCGGGGGAGTTGATGCATTGCTGGCGAAGGGAGCGGGTCCAGCCGTCGTACGGACGGATCCAGAAGATGAATTTGGGGATTTGCTGCTGGATATGGCGGTTACGTTGGTGCTGTTGTGGGTGCTTGAGCTGTGTTTCGTCGGGGGTGGTTGTGCCTGGTGAGGATGGGTCGGAGAGGAGGGGGACTTGGGTGACGTCTATGTCTACTTCGTTGTCTTTTGTTGAGACGAATCTGCGGTCGTGGGTGTCGTAGGACCATGCGCCGAGTGTGAATGGGTGGCTTTCCCAACCGGTCAGTCGGAAGGGCTGGTACAGGTAGTAGAAGTCTCCCGGAGAGGGGCGGATGTGAGCTGATCCCGGGGTCACTTCTAGACGAATGACGTCGGATGATGGGTCGTAGGTTGCTGTGCTGCGCGTGTACTGGACGCCTTTTCCGGCGTTGGCTCGTACGTGGATGTTGCAGTAGATGAGGCGGATTAGGCGCAGGGATCGGTCGACGATCCAGATGGCTACTGCAGGCCAGAGGTAGTTCCAGTAGTCGTGGCCTTCGAAGATGATTGTGTGGCTGGAATAAAGTGGTTAGTGAATGTTAATGAGAATAGGTGAGAGGGCACTGACTAGAAGCAACCTAATAGAAGAGCAATGGAAAAGAGGATGTGTAGCAGTAGGAATGTCTCATATAACCGGTGGCGGAACCATTGCATGGCAAAGGGAAGAATAGCGACCATCACGACGGTTGCCTACAAATCGTTAGTCTTGAAACAAACAGTGGTTTGGGTGAAGCCTTACAAGTGTTCCCCAGATTAGATACGGCTTGTGAAGCTTCCTGATCACGTTGCCTTCTGTAATGTTGTCAGTCATGTGCCTGAGACTAGATGTGAGAAACATACTTTGGTACATGATGACAAGGTAGATGAGGGTATGCGCGACAGCCTGCAAAGTAGCAACCCACGCAACATGTCGATGAAATAAGTTGAATGTCCCAAAGCTCCATCCTGTCGCCCAAATGAAGATGTTGTTGCGTCCGGCAAAGAGCCACACCAGCGGGAGATTGGCGAAAGACAAGACACCGGTTCGGTCAGCGGCATAGCGCATAATTTGATCT